AGAGAGAGAGAGAGAGAGAGAGAGAGAGAGAGAGAGAGAGAGAGAGAGAGAAAGAGAGGGAGATGAGATGCTGATCCTTGGCATGCCTAATGACCAAGTGGCAAAGTGGAGATGTCATCATCTAACCTTGGTCTTGTACAGGAATTGAAGCCCTGCATGTCTAAACCCCATGCTGTAAATCAGAGTTGGTTTTGAAAACAGGAAAAGCCTGGGGTGAAATTGTTTGTCCAACTCCGATTGACAGTAGGTGGGGTTTATCAGAAAATCATAACAGTGTTCAAATGAGGGTTTATCTGATGGTGTGTGTGTGTGTGTGTGTGTGTGTGTGTGTGTGTGTGTGTGACAGCAAATCTTCTGTAGTGTTATATACATTAGGAACAGGGGAATCTAGCCAAACAGAATCCCAACCTTGATGTGTACACATCCTTTCAGTTTGCACACATGGTCTTAGCCCTTTGCCTTCCTCAAGTCCTTAAGTACCTTGTTGATGTCATTGTGCCTGTTTGATGCAAAACATAAGAACTGTTGTTAGTAATCTCAATTCAGATCAATTTAAAGTTTGATGATTGGTATGGATTGTAGATATTTATAAGTCAATTTACAAGTTTCATTTTTATGATGCAGACTGCTAAAACCCACACATAGTTTTACTCTTTGTTTCAAGAGATGGTCATTCTTTCTTGTGGTTGAAGGCTATACTTTGTGCATCCCCAATGGTAGAATAAAGGCAAGCATGATGCTATATATTTGACCTATTAATAGGAAACCTTTTATGGGATGATGAGCCCTTAATAAACATTAAGTAAGAACAGGAGTTCTAGTTTAATCTATGGATTGGCTGATTCGTGGAGTCTCTTATTGACTTTATTTTTAAATAGAATATGTCTGGGAGGATGGAGGAGAAAAATAAGCTAATAGGACTAGCAGTATTGCATCATTTATTTGAATTTATTTTTTGTTATGCTCTCTACACTGATTAATTGTTTTATTTGAAATTCCTTAATTGAATGGTTCAAAGAAATACTAAGATGTACAATACTAACATGTTACTTCTGCTGTGGTTCTTCTTTTGTATTATTGTCATTCTGGTTAAAGATCCTTGAACTTAGACTTCTTTACATTGTTCCCTTATTTCCCTCATGTTTTCACATTACATGTCATGCTTTCCTTAATAGAGTTGCTTTTACAAGTAAATGTATTTCCAAGCAGTGTATGGATATTAGTTTTACTCCATAAAGAGGACCATGTCAATGCTTTGAAGTCATCAAAGAAATTTCTCGTTACCTTTGTTGAATCCTATGATGACACTAAGGTGAGATGGTATTATCTCCATTTTATAGCAAGAACACGGAATCCTACAGGATGTAAGTAATTTGTTCAATATTACAGACTGGAAGTGCCAGAGCCAAAGACTGAAACCCAGTTCACCTGACTTCACAAAGTTCCTCCTAAAATAAATGTATACAGTACCTGGGCTTATTTAGACTTTATCAGGAATACATGCAACTCTACATAGAAAAGGAAATTTGTATCAGTTGATACTGTAGGACATAGAGCCCAAATGAACCCAAAATGAGATGTGATTTAAATCCGTTTAAAAAAAAATAGCAGATAGTACAAGCTTCTGGAAGTACTATCTGCTATCTTTAACTTCAAAAATCCTGTCCAGTATTAACAGGTTACAATTATTACAATAGAGGCAAACCAGCATATTTGTTGACTTTGTACAGTATATAGAATAATAAATATGAGGAAGGGTTCAGAAAAATTAGGCTAATTAAAACACTTCAGATTGTTTTCAGTGATCTTCTAGAAGATCTAAAAGGAGACCAAAAAGTATGAGTGTGTGTGTGTGTGTGTGTGTGTGTACACACACACACCACACACACACTTTCATGCATGCATACACACCACAATCTAAATGGGGGTTTAAATTGTCAAGTTAATGTCTGCAAAAGCCTCATGGGTGGTTGGGTGAATGATTCCTTATGGATCATCGAGAAAGATATGTCTCTTAAAAAGCTACTTCTAACGTGTACAATAGCATTTCCAGATATTATCTTGACTGAAATTTTGAGAATTACTTACAGTTTGTGAAGCAATGTGAAAGAATCATCTTGGTTTAATGAAAAAATCAACATAAACAGGAAGGAGACAGTCCTTAGACATTTTGTGGTCAATTCCTTTGATTCCATGGAAAATGTAGCTGTGTTAAATAAATTTTGTATTAAAGTGTGATTGTCTAGCAAGGTGAATTCATTTATTAATTTCACACAGAAGAAATTTGAAAGAATAAAATTTCCAGAGGGATGAATCTTTATGAATGAAATGAAATAAAAAATTAAAACACCCATTACAAATGTATATATCATGTTTATCATTTCAACCAATAGTCCCTCAAAATGTAAAATCTGTATAACAGAATTGATAAATGATTTAATTATTTGACTTCCCTATATATAGCAAAATATTTTCCATTTCAATAATGTATCTTAAAATTCACATAAGCTATGTTTTCATTGATCTATGTTTTCTATAATTAAGGTTGGAAATTTGAACAGCACAGGTGATTTATTGATTCTATGAAAACATTCTAGATGACAGAGATGTAAATATCAAGAAAGTGACATTTGATTTTAGGCATTTTAAAAGGAAAATAGCTGAAAACTGTAATCACACTGAATATAAATCCCATGCCTATTACAAAAATCTATGTGACATTAACTTTTAAAATACATTGACATAATATAGTAAACTAAAGAGAAGATTAGACTATAATATTTCAGTATTGAAGAAATCAAGTTTTTTACTTTTCTACTTTGGGCTATAAGATGCTCTCCATTGTTTTTAATTGATTTTGTCAAAAATTTTCAGTATATATTTTTCTTCATTAAAGGATGTAATTGTAGTGTAAGTTTCTAATACAAATATGAAAATTTGTGTTTCATATTACCATGATAATTAGCTGAAAAGTTGGTCATTCCTACTGCCTGCATCATTGAATCTAAAACTTTGAATTTTAGGAAGCAGTATCTTTTGTCTGTTATTTTTTCTTTCTGGTACTTGGAATATAACCAATTGTGTTCTACCACAGACTAAACCTTCAACCCTTTTTTAAAAAATTGTTATTTTGAGACAGGGTCTTGTTAAATTACTGAGTCTGGCCTGAGTTGCTGAGGCTACAAGTGTGCACCATCATGCCCAGCTTTTTATTATTTTTATACGTACTAAGTTGATAACATAAGGTTGATATCTTTAAATTTTAAGTAAGGACATAAAAGGCATTTAAATAGCAAAAAATATAAGGAAAAGTAATATTTTTCACATTTCCTACATATAGTCAAAGAAATTTTAAACATTTTTTTTTGTCTGCCTTATCTCACTTAACATAACATTTTTCAGTTCCATTTGGTGGCAAAATACAGCATTTCATTTATTTTCTGACTAAATAGCATTTCATTGTGTATGTACACAGCATTTTTTGTTATCCTTTCCTTTGCTTATGGGCATATCTGTTAATTAAATAGTGCTGCAATAAGCAGAGGACTGTGGGTATTTCTTTTTTATTTATTTATTTATTTATTTATTTATTTATTTATTTTTTATTGTTGGTCGTTCAAAACCTTACACAGTTCTTAATACATCATATTTCACAGTTTGATTCAAGCGGGTTATGAACTCCCAACTTTACCCCATATACAGATTGCTGTGTCACATCAGTTACCCTTCCATTGATTGACATATTGCCTTTCTAGTGTCTGATGTATTCTGCTGTCAGTCCTATTCTCAACTATCCCCCCTCCCCTTAAACAATTTTTTTTTAAAAACCTGGTTTGAACAGGTTTTTCTTTATTTGTCTCCACTAAGATTGAGTACTTTACCAGCTAGCGTGTTCTGAGACTTTGATGCATCAGAAAAGCATCACCTTCTTACATTTTGATTCTGAAATTTTGTAACTCCATGTTTCATGGGATTAGGAGGTGTGGTAGGCAGGAGGAGATAGGAAAGAGGGACAGGAATATGTCTCCCAGGGATGGAATATTCATAAACTCTTCCTTATCTCATTATCATTGGTTCAACTTGGTCACTTTCTCATGTATGCAATAGTAACAGGGAAATAGATAAATGACACTGTCCATAAGACACACGTCTCTAAGACTATGCGCTGCCTGGAAAGGAAGAGACTCAGTGAAACCAACCTAGCCCACAACCTAGCCCTCTTTTACACTTGAGGAAACATGTGTCCTGAGGGATTCAACACAACTAATTTACTGATAGAACCAGTACTACGATTTATATCTTCTGTATCTCTTGACATTTAATTTATATTTTGTACATTTTGGCCACATTTAAGAATCAAAATTCCCATTGACTTGACTATTCTCTAAAACCCAAAATTCAGAAATTACTTAAAAAAAATATTTATGAATGGATGGAATCTTCAGATATTGTGCATATATGTGTGTGCCTAAACATATACACAAACACATACCCCCCACACTCCCCCACAGCAATCTATTGTCACTAATTTCTATATCCTAACTTTAATGTAGGTTTAGAGTTTATATCTTGAAAAAGTTCTCAAGCACCATATAGATCAATAATCTAAAAAGACTAAACCCTGGTAATGACTTTTG